ATGAACCAGTTGTGCTAGCACACACCTATAATACCAGTCCTTGGAAAGCTAAAGCAAGAGGATCATTAGGAGCCCACTGCCAGCCTGGGTTCCACAGTGAGTTCAAGGCCAGCTTGGACTGCATAGCAAGATTGTCTAAAAAAAACAAAACAAAACAACAACAATTTGCCAGGCATAGTAGTGCATGTCTGAAATCCCAGCACTCAGTCTGAGGCAGGAGGATCACTGTGAGTGCGAGGCCAGCCTGGGCTACATAAATGAGTTTAAGGTCAACCTGTACTACATAATGAGACTCTGACTCAAAAAAAAAAAAAAAAAGAAAAAAGAAAATAACTGAAAACAGCTTCAGGCTAGTGTCCAAGGAGCTTTGGTTTAAAATTATTAGAGGTCTGGATTTTCTTAAACCAATAAATGAAAAGAATTTTAAAAATCAGTCATAGTAGAAAAGAGCAGCTCTCAGTAACTTCTTCCAAATTTTATCTTCAAATGTTTACTCAGTTCAGTTTGCCTTATTCTTAGAAGCTGTTATGGCTTGTATCTAGCTGTCCCCCTCAAAGCTGCATGTGCTGATAGGTAGGGGCTTTTCAGAAGTAGCTGGATCTAGGGCAATAGTAGCAAACCTACAGCATACATTACTGAAAGCTCTAAAAGGTTCACCATCACGCACGCAGAGTGTGTGGATATGGATTAAGGGTATGTGGTAACTAAATTAGTCCATTGATTAGTTCTCAGTGTGAATAATAGGAAGGCCCACCCTGGGTGAGGGTGACACCAACCAATAAGCTTGTAGCCTAAATGGAATAAAAGGGAAAAGGAGGCTCACTGTTTGCTGCCTCTTGCCTGCCCTATTATGGATGTTTCTCCCCTGCCATCTTCCTCTGCCATGCCGTGCAGTCAACTGACAATTGGCTGAAGACCCTAAACACTGTGAGCTAAATAAACCTCTCCTCCTTTAACTTGTGGGTGTTGGATACTTTGTCCCAGCACCAAGAAGTCACTAACACGAAAGCCTTATCAAATTCTCCACAAGATCTGAAACTTCATCATAATCTTCCTCTCCAGCAGCAAGTGGTGCTTTCTCATTCACAGATTGGGCAGAGCTTTAGCCAGTTTCCTTAAACTCGTCAGACTGTCTGCACCAAGATGGTTAGCATTTCTATCAACTGTTTCAGTTCAGCATGGTCTGTAATGGCGTCTTGGTTAATTTTCTCTCATTGCTGAAACAAAATACCCCATACCAAAATGAAGGAAGGAAAGGTTTATTTAGCTTACTGTTTGTGGAGGTTTCAGTCCACAATCAGCTGGCTCCAAGGCAGGGTGGCATGGCACTGGGGTAACACTTCCAGGCAGCAGCCAGAGCAAAAGAAAGACAACAAATCTGAAATAGACATACATTTATAGATCCCATGAAGTACAACTAAAAGCTCTGAACATTACGCATAAAACAAATATGAAAAGACTCAAAGATGGACAGAGGTAAGAGGCTAGGCATGAGCTTAAGAAACAACACAGAACCAAGTTCCCTGGGTTTTCTTTCTGTGTCAGGCAGAAAACCCTTAGGGCTGAAGAAGCTGATAATGCAGATGATAAAGGATACAAGAATGAAATGAAACACAGCAAAAGCTTCCTCTTCCTACCAAGGAACCAGAAAAGGAGCAGCTTGGCAAGTCAGCAAGCTTTTCAATAATAATTAGAGTACCAGCAAGAAAAGAACATGGCCCTACGTTTAACCACCTAACTGGAAAGTCCAGACTTAAATGCTTATTACTGCATGAAAGAAGTCACATGTTACTAGTGAAAGGCACTGGCTAGAAAGCCTAGTGCTTCACCTTTGCCTTCTGTTAACAAGGGACTCCAAACAATAGTCTCTTCCTCAAATGATGCTGAGACAACTAGTTATCTCTATGCAAAGGAATGAAATTGGATATATGAAGAGCTATACACTATGACCAAGTAAAATTTATCTCAGGAATATAAGGCTGGCCAAACAATTAGAAATTCACTAAAAATCCACCACATCAGTGGCCCAAAGAAAAATAACATGTTCATATCACTAGATGCAGAAAAAGTATCTGACTGAATCTAAAAATCATTTATGATAAATCTTTTCATTAACCAGGATAGAGAGGAATTTGTTCAATTTGATAAAGAACATCTATCTACAGCTAATATCATAGGTAGAGGTAAGAAACTGGAAAATTCCCTGCTACAAACAGGAACAGGCAAGGATATCCTCTCTCACCATTCATTCCCTTAAAATATTAGAAGCCCTGGCTGATACAGTAAGACAACAAAAGGAAATAAAAGAAACACAAATTGAGAAGAAAAAATAAAACATTGGCAGATGACATGATGAGTATGTGAGCACAATAACAATGATTATTTGTTACTGGGCATACAAAATAGTACAGTCACATTAAAAACAATATGTCAGTGGTTTTTTGTTTTGTTTTGTTTGTTTTTTAATCAGTACCAGGGATCAAATTCATGGCTGCACGCTTCCAAGGCAGGCGCTTATGCTGCTGAGCTAAATCCCGAGCCCTATGTCAGTTTCTTCCAAAACACATTCTTACCTTATCCAGGAATCATGTTTCTTGGTATTTACCTGAAGGAGTTAAAATTTATGTCCACATAGATATGTGAATATAGATGTTTATCGAAACTTTATTCATAATTTCAAGAACTTGGAAACAACCAAAATATCCTTCCAAGATGCAGATGAACTGAAAAACTGGTACATACAGACAACAGAATGTTATTTTGGACTAAAAAGAATTGAGCTAGCAAATCATGAAAAGAAATGGAGGGAGCTGAGGCAGAAGGATTGCTGTAAATTTGAGGTCAGTCTAGGCTATGAAGTGAGTTCCAAGCCAGCCTGAATTGCATAGTGAAAAGAAAGAAAGAAAAAAACAAAGAAAGAAAGAAAACTTAAATTATTACTAAGCAAAAGAAGCCAATCTGAAGGCCAGGAGTGATGGCACACTCCTGTAATCCCAGCACTCTGGAGGCTGAGGCAGGAGGATTGCAAACCCTTGGCCAACCCTATCAAAAAAGGAGAGAAAAGACTCAAATCCATACAATTAGGAATGAAATGAGTAAAATCACAACAGACCCTGTAGAAATCCAGAAAATCATACATACCTACTTTGAAAACTTGCATTCTAACAAAATGGAAAATACAGAAGAAATGGACAGATATATATCAATCCTAGACATATATCAATTACCAAAACTGAATCAAGAACATACAAAAATCCTAAATAACCCAGTATCAATAAAAGAAATCAAAGATGTAATTTAAAACCTATCACAAAGAAAAGCCCAGGCTGTGATGGATTCATTGCTGAATTCTACATGAAATTTAGAGAAGACCTAACAGCACTAATTCTCAAACTATTTAATGAAATTGAAAGGGAAGTAATATTTACAAATTCAATCCTGGAAGCAAGCATTACCCTGATACCAAAGCCAGAGAAGGACCCAACTAAAAAGGAGAATTACAGGCCCATCTTCCTAATGAACATTGATGCAAAAATCCTAAATAACATAGTGGCATACAGACTGTAACAAGTCGTCAAGAAAATTGTACACCATGATCAAGTGGAATTCATCCCAGGGGTGCAGGGATACTTGGTTCGGCATATGTAGATCTGTAAATGTAATACACCATATTAACCAGAGCCAAGGACAAAAATCATACAACCATCTCAACAATGCAGAAAAAGCTTTTGACAAAATCCATCACCCATTTATGATAAAAACCCCACAGAAAACTGGAATAGATGGTCTTTATCTCAATCTGATAAAAGCCATCTAAAGGAAACCCACAGGCAACATCATACTAAATGGACAAAAACTGTCAAGTTTCACTCTAAATTCAGGTGCAAGAAGACAGGGATGTCCACTGACTCCACTGTTATTCAACATAGTCCTCAAAACTTTAGCTGGAGCAATTAGATAAGAGAAAGAAAGGGCCAGGGATTTAGCTCAGTGGAGAGAGAGAGAGAGAGAGAGAGAGAGAGAGAGAGAGAGAGAGAGAGAGAGAGAGAGAGAGAGAGAAACAAATAAAAGGAATAAAGATAGGAAAGAAAAAAGATAAACTATCATTATTTGCAGATCACATGCTAGTCTACTTAGAAGACTTAAAAACTCTACCAAGGGGGCTGGGGATTTAGCTCAGCAGCATAAGTGCCTGCCTTGCAAGCAGGCAGTCGTGAGTTCGATCCCTGGTACCGATAAAAAGGAAAAAGACCAAAAAAAAAAAAAAAAAGAGAGAGACAGAGAGACTTGGTCAGCAAAAATTAAAACAAAAAAGTAGATTGGGTCAACAGTGTCACAATATCAGACCAGTAAGCTGGAATCTGTATGTTGTCTTTGCACTAGACCTTCATGAGTTTAAGTCAGCTCTAGGCATCAAACCTTCATTTGCAAGGCAAAAAGCAAGGAAGAATGAGACAAAATGTGTCTTTGCACTGAGCTACATTGCCCGATACTTTTATCTTTCTTTCTTTTTTTTTTTGGTACTGGCGATCAAACTCACCTCGAGCTTATCAAGCAGACACTTACACTGCTGAGCTAAACCCCCAGCTTATCTTTCATTTTGAGACAGGGTCTCACTAAGTTGCTCAGTTGCCCAGGTTGGGCTCCAATTTGCCATTCTCCTATCTCAGTCTCCCAGAGTCCTGGAATTACAAGTGTGTGCCAGCACATCCGGCTACCTTAATTTATCTTGAGATTGACCATGTGAACACTTTGTCTGTTTGTTTGGTTTTTTTGTGACCCAAGGCCTCCACGTGTAGCCCAAGCCAGCCTCAAACTTGTGGTAATCTTCCTATCTCAGTCTTCCAAGTGCCAGAATTACATGCATGTGCTACTATATCTGGAAACACTCTTGCAATTGCAATTCTAAGTTCAGCTTGGTGGAACACAACTGTACACAACTGTAGCTTAAGTTACTTGGGAGACTAAGGAGGATCAAGTCAGAAAGCTAACAGAGCAACTAAGATTGACTTTTTAATGTCGTGCTTACATAAAAAGTGAAACTTGAAATAAGTACATAAATATATAAACAAGGTATTTTGTGATTCCACAATAACTATGAAATAACAGAGTGACTGACAGAAAGGGTGAAAGAGTTTTGGCCCAGGCAGGACCCTGTAGCTGGTGAAGCCTTAGAGGCAAAACCAAGGAGCTCCTATCTTCCCCACCCCTAGGAATTTACCTCTGGTGCCAAAAGAATACCAATGGGCTACTTGTGCATCCCTAATGCCCCTCAGGTACCACCCCCATTCTAGGCTATTTATATGCCTCCACTCCATGTGTTCCACGGAGAGATCTCCAACCCAGGGGGGAGATGCTGTGCCCCAGGGGATCGGGGGTGTCTCTCCCCACATTCTCAAAATAAAGGTCATTTATATTTCATATTTATCTTTTCAGCCGCCACCAGTCCCCCACAGTTCTATCAAAGGGGAAGGTATGCTTTGTTCCTTTCTTTTTTAAAAATGTATTTTCTTTTTAATGTTGGGAGCTGTTGAAGCTGGAAACTGCCCACAAGTACAAGGCTGGAGAATGATCATTCCAAGAACAAAGAGCACCTGGGGCAAACCACTGAAGAAGCTGCTTCAGCCCAGAGAACTCCTGGCTCCAAAACAATCTGAACAGTGGGTTGCTAGGGCAAGAGGGTGTCACGTGACATTATTAAATAAACGCCCCTGCAGTGAGGAGCCAGTACCTTTCCTCCCAACCGGAGGATAAGGATTCCACCTGACTCCAGTTTCGTCTCATCTTATTTTCCTCATCCTTTGCAGTCCTTTACCCCAAGAACTTCAGGAGCCGCTTGGGTCATGGCATATGATGCCTGAAAAGGGAAGGGTAAGAGCTTGAGGATGAGAGAACACTTCTCATGTGTGTGCAACTTAAAGGAAGAAGTACATTGGTATAGTTCAATAGTCATCACTGGAGTATTGATATTGGCTGAAAGGGTTTTGGCCCAGACAGGACTCTGTAGCCAGGAAAACCTCAACCGTAACCAGGAAGCTCCTATCTCCCCTGCCCCTAGGAATTTACCTGTGATGCCGTCTTCCCCACCCCTGGGAATTTGCCTATGGTGCCAAACCTAAGACCAATGGGCTACCCGTGCATCCCTGATGCCCCCTTAGGTTCCACCCCAAACCGAGGCTACTTATATACCCCCCATGCCACGTGTCAGGGGGAGAGATCGCTGGACTCCAGCAGTGGGGGGTGCCGGTCATCTCTTTCCATGTTCTCAGAATAAAGGCCTCTTTTTGTTTTATAGTTCTCATCTTTTGGAAATATTTTTCATCTTTTGGAAATAATCCTATCAGGCTTCATCAGGTGTAAAGAGTGGGGCATTGAAACTCTCTTATTCTTTAGGGCCAGTTATAAACTGGCCTGAGAGAAACCCCCCTTCCCCAGGGGAAAAAAAAAAAAGAAAGAAAGAAAAGATGAATCAGAAATGTATACGGAAGTTTTTGTTGTATGCTTGATTCCAGTATTTACTTTTCTCTTTTTTTTTGCCTTTTTTTTTTTTTTGTCTTTTTCATTTTTATCGGTACTGGGGATCAAACTCATGACTGCCTGCTTGCAAGGCAGGTGCTTATGCCGCTGAGCTAACTCCCCAGCCCCTATGTATTTTATTATTGACTTGAGAGTCTCTCATTGTTTTAAAATTAATGGGTTAAATGTTATAATTAGATTTTTCATAAGTCATCAAAAATTATATTAAGATAATTAAACAAAAATCCCTTGTGGTTGGGACTGTTGGAGAGGATTCCAACTGATGCATAAGAAAGCAGCTGCCTGGTAACATTTTTAATCCATTATTGTTCATTGATTGGAGGCCCCAATGATCTCTATAGCCTTATGGGAGATACCCCAACTAAAGTTATATAAAATATTATTGTAATATGTTCACATTGGTAATCATCAAGAGAAGTAATACAATAAGATTTTGATTTTAAAAATGCCCATACAAAGGTTTTCATATAGTTATGATAAATGATTGTTAACTGCATGATGTATTCATACATTCATCCTTTGAGATATACAGGCTTCAAAAAATGTAAAACAGTGAATTTTTTTTTAACAGTGATTATTTATGGTGACAAAATTTTGGTTCAGATTCAGACCTCTGCCTTCAACAAATGCTTAAGAAATCTACATCCCACTAAACATCAACAAGTTAGATAAAAGCTTTTATGTATTAAATAAGGAGGATTAATCAAAAAGGAGGTATCTTATGTTTAAAAATGCAAATTCAAATGTATTTTTAAAATGCCATCATGGGCCTAAGGTTTAGCTCAGCGGTGAAAGTGCCTGCTTGCAAACTCAAAGTCGTGAGTTAAATCCCCAGCACCAAAAAGAAAAAAAAAAAGTCATCAAAGTCATCACGATTGTCTTGTTATAACATCAGGTATTATTTTGATTTCTTGATTTCTAATTTTCTGTGTAAAATATGTAACTGTTTTTCTTTCTTTCTTTCTTTCTTTCTTTCTTTCTTTCTTTCTTTCTTTCTTTCTTTCTTTCTTTTTGTGGTACCGGGGCTCAAACTGACAACCTTGACCTTTCCAGGCAGACACTTATGCCACTGAGCTAATCCTCAGCCCAAAATATGTAACTGTTTGTTAACATCCTATAGTTTTTCAAAATTTTAAAGCATCCATGGTTGTTAAAAAATAATAGTTCGGGGCCAGGTGTTTAGCTCAGTGGCGTTAAGTGCCTGCTTGGCAATTGTAATCCCCAGCACCAAAAAAAAAAAAAAAAAAAAAAAAAAAACAATAATAATAATAATAGTTCTATTTTATGTTCTAAGATGTTTGACATTTAAGTAAGATGATCATGTTATGTTTACTGCCTCTACTACATTGTACTGTCATCAGTCTTTTCTTCTGGATGTTCAACTGAGATATAGAGACCAACAATTAGAAAGACAGATGGGCTAAGAGGATAGCCAATATTTTGGTGCTAGTCCTCCAAGGTCAATGAGGACCCAGGACATAAGAGATCCTCTGCTGTGTCATCCTATACTCAGTGAGTCCCTGGTCTTCTGATCAAGAAGACTGTGAGACCACTGAGGAAAGTGATCATCAGTTGTGGTGTGCCTAAGGAGATTCATCAGGGAAAAAAAAATCTCCCTAGCTTTCACAGAAAGCAACTTGATCAAGCAATGCCATGACTCATCCCCACAGCTGTCACTGACAAAAGAACTCAGAGGTGCTATAGCTGGTTCCAAGGTATTCCAGAGGAGACTTAACTGATAACAAAAATTGTTTTTAAAATGGGTCTCACCTTAACCTCATCTTGAACATCCTATAGAAAATGTACAACTTCTAGAGGTATATAAAACAATGCTGAAGTAATATGTTGGCTATAAAAGAAGCTCAAATCACTAATACCTTCTGACAGTTGTTGGCTACACTAGTAAATGTCTACTGTTAAGGATTAACAGATTATAAAATGTTTAAATTGGGGCTGGGGATTTAGCTCATGGCATAAATGCCTGCCTGGCAAGCCCTAGGCAATGAGTTCAATCCTCGGTACCAAAAATAAATAAATAAAAATAAAATAAAATGTTTAAATTGTGAGAATTCTCCTAATAGCTCTTCCAGTTTCAACAGATTACCCATCCTGTACAACAACAAAACAAAAGAAAGAGATATGTTGGGAGCCCTTGAAGCTGGAAATTGACCACATATGCAAGGCTGGAGCATGATCATTTCAATAACAAAGAGCACCTGGGGCAAACCACGTGAAGAAGCTGCTTCAGCCCAGAGAAGCCCGGGCCCCAAAACAATCTGAACAGTGGGTTGCTAGGACAACAGGGTGTCATGTGACATTAAGTTGCTAACAGGTTTAAATAAAAGCCCCTGTAGTGAGGAGCCAGTACCTTTCCTTACATCAGGGGAGGATAAGGACTCCACCTGACCCCAGCTTTGTCTCTTCTTAGTTTTCTCATCCTTTCGAGGTTCTTCACCCCAAGAGCCTCAGGAGCTGCTTGGGTTGTGGCATTTTAGTACCTGGGATTGAACTCAAGACCTCATGCTTGCCAGACAAGTGCCTGTGCCACTGAGCTATATCCCTGGCAGAGGAAGGTATAGTTTGAAGCTATAACTAACAAGTAAGCATGATGGTACATACGTATAATCCCCCAGCACTCTTTCAGCTCAGCTTGGGCAGTTTAGCAAGACATTGTAACAAAAACTAGCCAGGTTGGCCAGGCCTGGTGGTGCGTGCCTGTAATCCCAGTATTAGGCAGTATGAGGCAAGCAGATCATCATGAGTTTGAGGCCAGCCTGGGCTACACAGCAAGATTTTGTCTTAGAAAACTTGGGGGAAAAAACTAACAAAATTCACTAATTATATTAAGTGTATGACAAAAAGATGACTTCAAGTCAATATAGTAAGTCCCTAACTTATGAATGAGTTCCAAATTACACTCTTTTGTGGGGTAGTTGATTGATTGTGTCAGTTTAAGTTTAGTTAAAAGAAGCTTAACTAAATCCTCAATTTCATGCCCTAGGGTTGAGAGATCCACCCTAGGGTGGTTTGTTGCCTAGATATTATAAGAGAAATGAAGAATGACACATCTCCTTGTTTCTTTGGCGGAGCTCTAGGCCTTTGCCTTCACCATGGATGTCATCTCTTGTTTCCAGAACAGACCCATCAGCCTCCTGATAGAGACTCATAGGGGACTCTGCAGTGAGCTCCAGACCTCTGCCTAAACCTTTAATCTCCAGTGTGCAGCAGCCAGACCCTCTACATTCTTCTCATCTGACTCTGTGGGTGGCCACTGTAAACCATCCTTAGAAATTTTTATCTATTTATATATCATGTGTTACACTTGTCTCTCTAGTAAACACCAATTGATAATAGTTCATAAGTCCAACTAAGTGACTTTTACATACCTTCAACACAAATATACAATGTAAAGCATAAAAAACAACAAATACAAGCCAGGCATAATAGTACATGCCTGTAATCACAGGACTTGGGAGGCTGAGGCAGGTGGATTGTTGCAAGTTCAAAACCAGTCTTGGCTACAAAGTGAGCTCAAGGTCAGCCTGAACTGCACAGCAAAACCGCATCTGAAAGATAAAACAAAACATACGAATACTGTAAATACACTATTTTTACCTTTATGGTTACTTTAAAATGGTAGAACAATATAGTACAAAAATGGCATAAAGGAAATTAAATGGAGTGAACTGACAAGAAGAGAGTTACTAACTGAAGGAGGGAGGGGAAGTAAAAATTGAAGGATCATCAGTAATAGGAAATGGAGGGCAGGCCTGGCATGGTGGCAAGGGCTGTAACCCCAGCATTCAGGAGGCTGCTCATGAGAGTCACTGCATGTTCAAGGCCAGCCTGGATTACATAGCGAGATTCTGTCTCAAAAAAAACCACATATGTTTAAAAATAGATTTAAAGGGGCTGGGGATTTAGCTCAGCGGCATAAGCACCTGCCTTGCAAGCAGGCAGTCGTGAGTTCGATCCCTGGTACTGATAAAAACGAAAAAGACAAAAAAAAAAAAAAAAAAAAAAAAAAGATTTAATTCTGTTTACCCTCCTGCAAAGACAATCTACTGATGTCTGAGTAGTAAATCATTTTTTCTCATCATATTATAGATGACTCTGTAGCAATGAAGGGCTGGAGATTTAGCTTAGTGGCTCAAGCACCTGTCCAGAAAGTACAAGGTTATGAATTCGATCCCCAGTACCACAAAAAAAAAAAAAAAAAAAAAAAAAATAGTAGCACTGAATTGCATTGTGAAGGCTGCTACAATCTTTGTGTATCATTCTGCATTGGAGACCTATGTCTCAAAAACCAACAGTGACCTTCTAAGTAAAGAAAATCTTCTTGCCATTTTCTGTGCTATGAATCTTTTTGGTTCTTCAGTTACATTTTCCTTCTTTTTGCCAGGCTTCTAATTCTATCAGGTCCTCATTATTAAGCTCATCAACAGTAAAAATCTACTGGGGTAAATAAGCACCTTCATCAATTTCTCTAAGTGTTGCTGGAAATTCTTGGGCAGCTATGGTATTTTCACTCACAACCTCTCCACTCATTCGCTGGAGTTGGCTCCAGCTTTGACTCTGTTAAGCCACCCATGCCTATTGGTAAAAGATGTATTCTGCTCACCCTGGATTTTTCGTCCTCCAACAGGCTTTTATCATTTTCTTGAATAAGCATTAAACTGAGTAGGACTTGACACTGATGCTGATTCTGCATCCACACAATGAGAAGTTTCTCTATCTCCTCCATCACTCTACCACAATTTATGGATTATTGTCAACTTCATTGACATAGCAGACTTCACACGTCATTGATCTTGTCCTTGTTCTTGGTTTTTTTTTTTTCTTGGTACAAGGAATTGAACTCAGGACCTCACATTTGCCAAGTAGGTGCTATGCCACTGAGCTTTATCCCCAGCCCTTGTCTTTATTCTTTAGAATGGGCTAATAGTTGAGTGATTCACATTATAAGAGCACGTGACATCTACCATCTTTTCACCTCAGTCCAGTTCTTCAACTATTTTCACTTTTGCTTTCATGATTATTGTTTTGCACTTCATAGTAGTACCATCCACATCACCACTGCTCTTCCTCTTGCTTCCAAACATCCTGAGGTCTGATTAAGCACTGTACCTAAGCACACAAAGGCACAACTGAGACAACATCCAGCAGACACATGAGCTACTTCTGTGTGATTTGTTCACATCTGCAAATGTTTGTAAGGTGAGGTTCATTAGTATCAGTGAAAATCTACAACTCAAATGTTTGTAAGTCGGGGACTTACTATACTGATTCTCATTTTCTTTTTTTTTTGTCTTTTTCCTTTTTATCAGTACCAGGGATCGAACTCATGACTGTCTGCTTGCAAGGCAAGCGCGCTTATGCCGCTGAGCTAAATCCCCAGCCCGTGTAAATTTCAAAGAAAGTTAATTGAAGCCATATGTGCTGCTATGGACCTGTAATCCCAACACTATAGGATAGAGGAACATGAGTTTGAAGCCAACCTGGGCTACATAGTCTCAAAATAAATTTTTAAAAGTGAATTAAGAATCTACAGTCAAAAAAAAAAAAAAAAAGGAATCTACAGTCATACATTATTCACCAAGTTAGGATCTAGTCCTAAGTGTCATCAAAATCAAATTTCTGCCAGGCATGGTGGCATACACCTATAATCACAGGATTTGGGAGGCTGAGGCAGGAGGATTACTGAGAATTCTGCCTGGGCTCTGTAGCAGGTTCAGGGATAACCTGAACTACATAGCAAAACCTCCTTTGTTTTGTTTGGCTTTGCTTTCTTTTTTTGAGACAGTATCTTGCTATGTAGCCCAGGCTGGTTTTGAACTCACTATGGAGCCCATACTGGCCTTAAACTCATAACAATCCTTCTGAGTCAGCCTCCCAAATGCTGGGATTACAGGTGTTTACACCTGTAATCTTAAAAACAAAAACAAAAACAAAACTGCAAATTTATATTTCTTTACCATTTATCTCTGGAAAATGCAGAATACAAAATGGCATATATAAATTTATAACACCATAACACTAGGATAAATAAGAATAAAGGCTAAACAGGATACAGTAACTCACTCCAGAAGGCTGAAGCAGGTAAATTACAAGTTCCAGCCTAGTTCTAGATAACTTGGTGACCTAGCAATACCTTGTCTAAAAACAAAAAATGAATTATTAGGAATATAGCTCAGTGGGAAGGCCTTGGGTTCAATCCCCAGTACCAAAAACACAAATTTAAAATTAAAAAAGTAAAATGTCATGATTATAACCCTTCACTCAAAAAAAAACCAGGGAGGGGAGAAAAAAAAAAAAAAAAAAACAGGGCTGGGGATTTAGCTCAGCAGCATAAGCTCCTGCCCTGCAAGCTTGAGGTCATGAGTTCAATCCCTGGCACCAAAAAAATAAATAAATAATTTATAGTTAGTGATTGGTAAGTTTTTTTTAGTCCTTTATTGTGATTTTTTTGGGGGGACGGGTTGGTTTTTGTGGTTCTGGGGATTGAATTTAGCACCTTTGCACTGAGTCACATCCCCAACCATTTATTCAGAATCTGTTGCCCTCCGCCACATGCACTTTGTTTTAAAGTCAGCCAAATATGGCCTGAAACTTCCACAAACTGAGCTAAATAAACCTTTCCTTCCTTAATTCTGGTTCTCAGGGTTATTTTGCCTCAGCAATGAGAAAAAGTAACCAACACAGCTAAACACACAGTAACAAACACACCTAAAGTGCTGAGAATTGTTGTATTTGTCTTTGTAGAACTGGTCAAATGAAAAAAAAAAAAAAAAGAACTGGTCAAATGAATACATTTTGTGAACTTTCACATGCAAACTCCAAATGAAACTATCAAAAACCATTATTGACAGCACAGAACAGATGCAAACAATAGTAGCAAATGACTCTGATGTTAGGTAGCAAAGATGGTAGTTGCTCAAATTACAACACAGGGTTTCCTACTTCAGCAAAGTAAATAACAAAATACAGGTGATGGGCTCCGTTCATATGAGACTCCTCCGCCAGGCAGTGTCCTGCCTAACACAGTGCCAACCATAACAACAGGAGATCTCTCCTGTACTAACTTCCATGTTCATCTTCTGATCCCAAAACAACAAACTTTCTGCCTTGCTTTCAGCATGCCAAAGGTCCTCCAATCCCTTCCCAACACTGTCCACTCATAATTGCCATCCATCCTGATCCTAAAAAAAAGTGACTTCCTGGCTTTGTCTCTTTTGAGGGTTCTCACAATCTCCAGCAGCCTTCTCATGCCAGCAATAAAGGCTTTTTATCTGTATCTATGTCTCTCAACTGTGCCCAAAAACCAAATACAGGCCCTGAAAAAAAATCTAACAGAAGAAAAGCCTATGTAATCAATGAAAACGTAACATCACTATAAATGTGTTTTATGTTACAGATGTAGATACCTATTTAGTGTTTTATGTTTATGCATATATAACATAAACAAATAGAACTATGTAAGTTTTAGTAGGAGCTAAAAAATGTCAGCCTGTCAGATTATAAAGAAAAATAATCAGAGTTTGATATCTTTCTGGCATAAAGATATCAAACTAAATTATTTAAAGATCCTTTCGTTGTATTATTCTGTGAAACCTGAAATATCCTCAGGGACCTACAAAAATAAAAACATAAAATTCACACAAGCACACAACCTCAAATACTTGCTTATTCATAAGTAAATACAATGGTAACAACTAGCAAAGCTAATGGTTTCAGGAAAGTATCTGAGGAGGCCATAGAAACAAATCCCTGCAGTGAAAGCTCTGATATTCTGCAGAGCCAAGAGGGAGGTGTCTGCTTTCAAATGGCCTTTCCGCCAGAGCAGACAGCAAAAGGGAATTCAGCAAGATGGTCCCCTAACATTCATTCTTCCAGTTAGAAGGAGCTAATTGTTTTCAGTCTCCTTTTAAAAATACTTATTCGGAAAAACAATAAGTGAGAACAATATTCAAATATGTTCCACATCCTCTAACCCAGTTTGGAAAACATAATTTAGATTTTGAGTCAAAATTCTTTGAAAGGACTGGAAAAGGATTTACTTATTAGATATAATTTCCTTCTTTATATACCAGATTCAGATGACTAAAGATTACACGTATCCATGTACTTATCTGATTAGAAAATGTGTGTGTGTGTGTGTGTATATATATATATATATATATATATATGTATTTTTTGTTTGTTTGGGTTTTGGTTTTGCTACAGGGTCAAAAGAACTGGTCAAATGAATACAACATTTTGTGAACTTTCACATGCAAACTCCAAATGAAACTATCAAAAACCATTATTGACAGCACAGAACAGATGCAAACAATAGTAGGAAATGACTCTGATGTTAGGTAGCAAAGATGGTAGTTGCTCAAATTACAACACAGGGTTTCCTACTTCAGCAAAGTAAGTAACAAAATACAGGTGATTGAACTCACAACCACGCACTTGTAAGGCACACGCTTATGCCACTGAGCTAAATCCCCAGACCAATGTACACATATATTAACAGTATAAATTTGTTGTGTGAAACAGCATGTGAAAGCTTTGTCAAATGTAAACAAAACAGTAACTAAATCAGCCATGATTTTTACTGTCACGTTTCCCTTTTCTTATACCATCACCAGGTGGACATTTTGAATAGTTTAGCAACAGAAATAGGTTTCTGTGAACAAGTGTTCTTTTGTTTTGATTTCAGTTTTTGTTCTTGCGGGTTTTTTTGTTTTGTTTGTTTGTTTGTTTTGAAGACAAGGTCTTGCTATGCAGTTCAGGCTGGCCTTCAACTCACTATGTAGGCCAGCCTAGCCTCAAACTCACAACAATCCTTCTCTCAGAACAGTTTAAAAGCTACACTTCAGTCCTACCGCCTTATAAATTTTGATCTGAGGGTTAGCACTGTATTTTACGGTCCTGGAGCTGATGGGGACAGGGGGCTGGTCTATTCACTATAAACTAGGCCTCTTCATTAACCAACTATCTCCTGGCAAAATGCCTAACAGTCTTATTTTAGAAAACTGTAACACACAACCACAAAATCTACTTCCTAATAGTCTTCAGTGTGAAACAATTTATTTCCACCATCCTCGAGTTTCTTCACTTCAGCTACCACCGGATGTTTTTAAGTAAATCTCCTTTTTGAAAAGGCTCCGCCAGACTGCTCCATAAATTGGCGGCCAAGTCTCAACGCGAGGCTGCCTTGCCCCGAGCCGCCGCCCCAGCCTCACACCGAGGGCCGCTAGTCCAAGGACTCGAGCATCATCAGCTTTCCAGCCTAAGGTGCCTTTAGTTTTAAGATAAACCTACTCGGATTTTTGAAGCTCACATCCTCCACGTTATCAAGTAGATGCAAAATACCTTTTCAAAGGAAGCAAGAAAAGAAACAGAACAAACTCATTAAGGAACTATAGCAACAGGAAAATAATCAGCAGAGCTCCTCGGCCCAGCAGTTTTTGCATTTTAGGGTGCTTCAACTTCAAAACTGGGTGCACCTCTCGAGCCTTAGGGTTCGGCAACATTAAAGCAGGCTCGTTCCCCACGTCCAGGTCGGTTTCGCCAGGGCCACACCCGCGCCCGCGCCCGCAGCCGCGCCGCAGTCTGCAGCACTGGCGCGCGGCCCGCAGGCACAGCGCCCCTGACTCCCGCCCGTCAGGTCCCGCGCAGGGAGAGGCCCGGGCGCGGAGACCGCCTCTGCGGCGGCCAGGCTGGGCGCCCAGTGGACGCGCAGGGCCGGGGGCGGAGCCCGCCCGCCCCTCCCCGGCCTCTACTTAAGAGGCTCCAGCGTCACCCACGCCCCAGTGCGTTACTTACCTCGACTCTTAGCCTGTCGGGGACGGTAACCGGAACCCGGCGTCTGTTCCTGTCGCTTCTGCGCCCCTCCCGACCTGTAATCATCATGGTGAGTGAGCCGCGCGCTGCGCCAGGCAACATTCCGGAAAATGGGGAGGGAAAACGAATGGGAGAGGTGCTAAGGACCTTGAGTTAGAGCGAGTTGGGACAAACCCTTTCATTTTAGAGAGGCAAGGTGAGACGAGAGCGGCAATGGATGAGACAGGTTTTGGAGAATGGCAAGTGCCAGGCTAAAAGGGGAGCTGAGATTCGTCTCGTACCGATGGCTGGGCACGGGCTGCAAAATCCTGCAGTCTTCCCGCGCGTACCCTTCCCCCATACGTCCCCCACCTAGAGCAAGCGCGCTCAAGCAGATTCCCCGCCCTCACTTCCTCCTCGACGCGAAAGGCGGGGGCGGGAATGAGCGGGAGACAAAAGCGCAGGCGCGACCGTTACCTTCCCGCCAGATGGCGGCGGGAAAGTGCCTCGGCAGTGTGCGCGTGCGCCCTGCGGCACTGCGCATCCGCGCCCTCAGGGTGTGCCTATTACCCCGAATTTGGAGTTTTTTATTTTCAATGAAAACAATAGGAGAAATGTGGGAAAGGGAACTTTAACAATATACTTCTTGCCGGGCGTGATGGCACACACCTGTAATCCAGCACTCCAGAGACAGAAGCAGAATAATTGTAGCAAGTTAAAGACCAGCCTGGGCTACAAAATGAGCTGAAGGCCAGCCTGAACTGCATTGTGAGATCCTAGCCCAAAAAAGACCAAAAAAACAAAGGAAAAACAGTGTAGCTCTGAACTACACAGCAGCCTGTAAAAAAAACTGCCGGTAACCCGTGGCGGCCATCTTCCTTCCTCTTGCAATGATAGAAATTCGTAAGGGAGTGGATGACGCCCTTGAAAGAATTTGGAGGGATTGGAAATCTGATCTTGCCCCAGATCTGGGTTGCCCATAATGCTGTTAACATCCTGACTGATGTGGAGGTGCTGGCTGTGGGAAGATGAGGTGAACAGCTGCCAACAGGTCCGCGGAGACGACATGCTAACCCAGAGCAGCTCATTCATCCTGTGCCGCAGAGCCCCGCCCTAGTCTCGGCAGACATTTTTTCTGCACTCCCCAGCCACGTGGTTCCTGTGCCAAGCCCTATCAGGAAATCAGGCCTTCTAAGCTAAAGTGGGATTGTGAGGCCTGACCAGTGGTGGACAGATGGCGTTCTCCAAAGGAGGAAGCTGTGACTAAGCAGTCCTCTAGGTCTCAACGACCCTTGTTAGTGTGGAGGTAGGGGCAAAACTAGCCATTCGCCTGGACCAATGAATAGCACGTTTTAAATATATTATTTTAAATTTTCTTTAAGGTTAAGATTCCGTGACTTTTTTGCTACTCATGGATTACCTTAGAATTTGATTTCTGAGTTTTTTTTTCTCCCTCCCACCACAGCGTGAGTGCATCTCCATCCACGTTGGCCAGGCTGGTGTCCAGATTGGCAACGCCTGCTGGGAGCTCTACTGCCTGGAACATGGCATTCAGCCCGATGGCCAGATGCCAAGTGACAAGACCATTGGGGGAGGAGATGACTCCTTCAACACCTTCTTCAGTGAGACTGGTGCTGGCAAACATGTGCCCAGGGCAGTGTTTGTAGACCTGGAACCCACAGTCATTGGTGAGAGAACCTTGGACACCCATGGGATTCGCCAGGGTTCAGGAGCTTGAGGCTATGGCCTGAGGGTTCTGTGGAGGCCCCAGGCTTAAGCATGTACCTGCAGGTTTTTAGTAATGGGCAGTGGGTTTCTTCTCTTCCAGATGAAGTGCGTACTGGTACCTACCGCCAGCTGTTCCACCCTGAGCAGCTCATCACAGGCAAGGAAGATGCTGCCAATAACTATGCCCGTGGGCACTACACCATTGGCAAGGAGATCATTGACCTTGTCTTGGACCGAATTCGGAAACTGGTAAATACCATATGTAAAATGTTTGGTCACTTTTGTTTGTTGAGACAGGATCTTACTATGTGTTCTAGGCAGTTCTAAACTTGTAGCAGTTCTTCAAGCCCTCTCCAAGTGCCGATATTCCAGAAGTATACCTCCTCACCTGACAAATATGTATGTAAAATGGATTTCAAGATTTCAGTGCAAGTTAAATGGAGTGACCAAGTGATAGCAACCAACCTTTGGTGCCTCCCAAAATGTAAAATTAGGCTGCTGTCTATAAATTGAAGTTTTTGTTTGTTTGTTTTTGTTTTGTTTTTTTATTGGTACTGGGCATCGAACTCAGGACTGCCTGCTTGCAAGGCAGGCACTTATGCCGCTGAGCTAAATCCCCAGCCCCCATATAAATTGAGTTTTTAAACTGCAGTCTTAATTATTGGTGATGTGTCTTTTATAGTCTACATAATTCAGATAGTGGTTTATGATTTGAAGAAATTGGGGAGTGTTATGTAAGAAAATACCCAAGAGTAAAATGTTTTTTGTTTTCTTCTCGTAGGCTGACCAGTGCACAGGTCTGCAGGGCTTCCTGGTTTTCCACAGCTTTGGTGGGGGCACTGGCTCTGGGTTCACCTCCCTGCTGATGGAGCGCCTCTCCGTTGACTACGGCAAGAAGTCCAAGCTCGAGTTCTCCATTTACCCAGCCCCCCAGGTCTCCACAGCTGTTGTAGAGCCCTACAACTCCATCCTCACCACCCACACCACCCTGGAGCACTCTGATTGTGCCTTCATGGTAGACAACGAGGCCATCTATGACATCTGTCGTAGAAACCTTGATATTGAGCGCCCCACCTACACTAACCTGAACCGCCTTATTAGCCAGATTGTGTCTTCCATCACTGCTTCCCTCAGGTTTGATGGAGCCCTGAATGTTGATCTGACAGAATTCCAGACCAACCTGGTACCCTACCCCCGCATCCACTTCCCTCTGGCCACATATGCCCCTGTCATCTCTGCTGAGAAAGCCTACCATGAACAGCTCTCTGTAGCAGAGATCACCAATGCCTGCTTTGAGCCAGCCAACCAGATGGTGAAATGTGACCCTCGCCATGGTAAATACATGGCTTGTTGCCTGTTGTACCGTGGTGATGTGGTCCCCAAAGATGTTAATGCTGCCATTGCCACCATCAAGACCAAGCGCAGCATCCAGTTTGTGGACTGGTGCCCCACTGGCTTCAAAGTTGGCATTAATTACCAGCCTCCTACTGTGGTTCCTGGTGGAGACCTGGCCAAGGTGCAGAGGGCTGTGTGCATGCTGAGCAACACCACAGCCATCGCTGAGGCCTGGGCTCGCCTGGACCATAAGTTTGATCTGATGTATGCCAAGCGTGCCTTTGTTCACTGGTACGTGGGTGAGGGGATGGAGGAGGGGGAGTTTTCTGAGGCCCGGGAGGACATGGCTGCCCTTGAGAAGGATTATGAGGAGGTTGGTGTGGATTCTGTTGAAGGAGAGGGCGAAGAAGAAGGAGAGGAGTACTAGTTAGGTATTTCTTTAAGCCCTGCAGCAGCATGTCATGCTCTCAGAACTGCAGCTTCAGTGTAGCTGACAAGCACAAAGGTTTTCTGAGTAGATCATCCTCAATCATGTCTGCTATCTATGATTCTGTCTTTTGGCTATCTGTGTGCACCTCTTGATTTTTTGCATCATGTCTCAAAATAAATGCTTTAAGAAAGTTGGTTTCCTGTAGTTTTTGTATAATTGGCTCAGTAATTACAGTTGATACTTGGGAGTTCAAGTCCCTGCAACATTGTAGCATCAGTACACACCCACCATAAGCACACTACACTAGAAACAAAGATTTGGTTGCTAAGCACTTCATTTTGATGTGTTTGGTTTGATTTTTGGCATTGGTTCCCTGTACAATTTAGGCTTCCTCAAACTGGCCTTTTCTCTCAGCCTCCTATGTTTTCTAACATCTTAGGTCTGCACAGAGGACTTAGTGATTCTGCTAATCCTTGCTAATAAGGTTATTGGAGGCTGGATCCTGACTGGTTCAGTACTAGGTAAAGCACAAGGCCTTGAGTATAATATTGCCTGGTGTCAAAAATACAGATAATATAATTGGAAGTGGAGATAAAAGTAATGTGACTAGTAATGGCTACTGTTGGGAAACTTTTTGTCTTTTTTTTTTTTTTTTTTTTTAGTAAAGATGGATATGAGGAAAAATTGTAGGAGCAGGACATGGAGTGGTCAACAGAAGTTCTGGTAGGGGGAAAAAATCCAAATTTAAGCTCTTCATTGCTGCTAGGTAAGGACTACACATGAAAGGGTGACACTTTGTAGCATTTAACACAATTTAATAGTCAAGCTTAAGAATTTAAAAGGAATTGTTACTGTATCTCTTGGCCTAGAAGAAAATCAAGGCTTCACATTTTGAAAGCATGGGGAATTGCCAAGGATAGTTAAATCTGGTTTGTTAGGGAAGACTAGGTTTTTTGTTTTGTTTTGTTTTTCCTAGTCCTTAAAATTTGCAGAAAGTTTCCCACTAGATAAAATTTGGCATGGTATTGAAATAGATCAGGTGATACTGCAGACCTAACATGGCAATACAGACGTGGTATCAAAGGTCATGGGATCGTAAAATGGTTAGTGATCATTGGGAAGATTTGGCTCAGTGCTGAAGGATCATTTTGAGAGATCTGTTAGATTTATCCACCACCTCACTCTCTTAAAAAAAGAAATGGAAAATTAGATCAGAGCCTAGAAAGCAAAATAGATGAGTTCATGTCCTAGGAAGGTTCTGCCTGATGGCCTAAAATCAGTGAAACAGGTGTGATACATTCCTGTAATGCTA